GCGGCCGCGGCCGGCGCCGGCGGGGCCGCGGCCGACGAGCCGCCCGCCCGGCGCTACGAGGACCTGCCCGCGCACCTGCGGCGGCCGACGATCAAGCCGACGGGCCAGTGCCCGCGGTGCTGGCGGCCCCGGCCCTGCGCGTGCGACGACGTCGAGGCGGACGTCGTCGTCGACCGCGCGCCCGCGCGGCCGCGCGCGGCGGCCGTGGACCCCTTCGCCCACGCCGACGGCGACGTGAGCGTCGAGGCCGCCGAGCGCAAGCGCGCCGACGCCGCCGCCGCGTCCGAGGCCGCGACGGCCGCCAGGCTCGCGGAGGCGCGCGCGGCGACGGCCGAGAAGCTCGCGCGCGCGCGCGCCGAGGGCGCGACCTGCCCCATCTGCTGGAAGCCCCGGCCCTGCGCCTGCGACGACGGGCCCGCGGACGAATCCGCGCGGGCGCGCGCCGACACCGCGGCCTGCCCGCCGTGCCCCGCGCCCGCGGCCGCGCCCGCGCGCGTCGACGGCGCGTCGACGCGCGTCGACGCCGCGACGAACGTCGACGGCGCGACGACGAACGCGGCGCCGCCGCTGCCCACGGTCTGCGCGCCCATGCCCGTGCGCGCCCTGCGCGGCGAGGGCCGCGTCGTCGCGGGGGCGACCTTCGAGCGCGAGCGCCTCGCGAGCCCGCAGCTCCGCGGCGCGCCGGCGAGCCCGCCGCGGCCCCGCGAGGCGCCGGCGCCGCGGGACCGGCGCCGGCTCGAGCGCGACCTGGACCTGCCCGAGGACTGCTTCATCGTCACGCGCGACGAGGCCCAGACGCTCCGCGACGAGATCGACACGCTCCGCCGCGAGGCCGCGGACGCGCGCCACGAGGCCCGCCGCGCGCGGCGCGGCGACCGGGCCTCGCCCCGCGACGGGGCGCGGCGCAACGGGGAGCGGCGGGCGGCGTCGCCCCGGGACGAGGCGCGGCGGGCGGCGTCGCCCCGGGACGGGGAGCGGCGGGCGACGTCGCCCCGGGACGAGACGCGGCGGGCGGCGTCGCCCCGGGACGAGGAGCGGCGGGCGACGTCGCCCCGGGACGAGACGCGGCGGGCGGCGTCGCCCCGGGACGAGGAGCGGCGGGCGGCGTCGCCCCGGGACGAGGCGCGGCGGGCGACGTCGCCCCGGAACGGGGAGCGGCGGGCGACGTCGCCCCGGGACGAGGAGCGGCGGGCGACCCCGCCCCGGGACCCGTCGCCGAAGAAATCGTCGCCGAAGAAATCGTCGCCGAAGAAGTCGCCGCGGCGGGCGCCGTCGCCGTCGCCGTCGCCGCGGCGGGACGGCGAGGCGACGCTCGAGAGCGGCGACGACGGCGCCGAGGCCTGGAGCGGGTCGAGCGAGGACCCGGACCGCGCCGCGGAGCCCTCGCACGTCCGCGACTCGACGAGCGCGTCGCGGCGCCGCGTCGCGTCGACGGCGCGCGCGGAGGGCGGCCGCGAGCGGGACCGCGAGGAGCGCCCCGAGGAGCGGCGCGAGGCGCGGCGCGCCGCCGCCACGACGACGCGTACCGCGACGACAAGGAGCGGCGGCGCCGCCGCCGCGACGCGCGGCGCCGCGCGCGCCGCGACGGCGACGACGGCGGCGACGACGACGACGACGGCGAGGGCGACGCGCCGCGGGCCGGCGCGCCGCCGGAGCCCGAGGCCGCGACGCCCGTCGGCGGGCGGCTCCGCGAGGCGTCGCCCGCGCGCGCCTCGGACCTCGCGGCCCGCGACGACGGCGCCGGCGCCGCGGCCGCCGCGGCGAGCCCCCCCGCGTCGCCGCGGCCCCGCGCGGCGAGCCGCATCGAGGCGGCCGGCGGCCCGCCGACGTGGGCCGTGGACCTCGTCGGCGCCGAGGACTACGACCGGCTCTGCCTCGCGCGGCCGGGCGACTACGCGCCGACGGGCCCGCGGCGGTCGACGCCGGCGACGTGCGCCGTCGACGGCGGCCGCCTCGTGCTGAGGAGCGGCGCGGCCAAGTGGCGCGCCGCCGTGCCCCTGGCCTCCATCGCCGAGGTCGACTGGGACGCGCGCGGCACGGGCCTCGTCCGCGTCGCGTTCGCCGCGCCGGGCGGCGCGCGCCGCGCGTACTACTTCAAGATCCCGACGCCGGACCACCACGACGTCGTCGCCGACATCGTCGCCACCATCGAGGAGCGGCAGCCCGAGAGCGGCGGCGGCGACCAGAGCAACCCGCTCCAGGTCACGCCCGACTTCCGCCTCCCGACGGGCGTCCGCGCGACCCGCGCCAACGGCACCGTGCTCCGCGGCTCCCCGGCGTCGCCCATCCGCCTCGGGGGGCTCTAAGGGGGCTTGGGGAATGTTTTAAAAGGTGGCCTTGGGCGCCGGGCTACAGCGTTGGGACGGCGTCTGGTGGCCTCAGTCGCAGCCTGCGACGCAGGCGCAAATCGGGTCAGTGCAGACGGTTCGGCGAGCGCCGTGCACCGATTGACTACTCGACACGATATGGACGCAAGAAGCGACGCGCAGGGCGACAAAAAGGGCTCGGGGGACGGCGAGATGAAGGAACCTGAGTGGATGGTGAAGAAGCGCGAGTATGAACAGCGGATGGCCCGAGTCAAGAACGCCAAGCTCCGCACGCTTTGCACAATTTGCTCGGCGAAAGCGAAGCTCCCGTGCCCTTGCGGCACCACGCAGTATTGCTCGGTCGCCTGCCAAAAGGTCGACTGGCGCGAGCGGGGCCACCGAGAGGCGTGCAAGGAGATCCGGGCGCGGGCGGAAGCGCCCCCGCCGTCGCCGCCGCGGGACGTGTTCTACGGCCCCGCGCCGCGGTCGCACGCCGACGAGATCCGCGCGCGCATCGCAGAGGAGCACGAGGCGGCGCGTCTGCGGCGCGAGGCGAACCCGGAGCGGGAGCCGACGTCGGCACGGTTTGGGTCGCGGTGCCCGATCTGTCTCGAGGAGTGGGACGTGAATGCAAAGTGCGCGTTTCGCGTCTGCTGCTGCCGGTTGGTCTGCCGATCGTGCGACGACAAGATCGGCTTCGGCGCGTGTGCTCTCTGTCGAGTACCCTGCGCAGAAACCGACGCGGAGGAGCTCGCGCGTCTTCGCCGCCATGTGGAGAACGAGGTGCCGGAAGCGATTTCGTGTTTGGGAAGTGCGTACTACTACGGTCGGTTCGGTCTCGTGAAATCCTATAAGAAAGCCGCGAAAATTTGGAAGCGTGCCGTGGAGCTCGGAGATGTGCGAGCGATGAATGGTCTTGGATTATTGTACAACAATGGAAGTGGCGTCAAGCTGGACAAGAAGAAGGCGGAGCGGCTGTTTCGCATGGCCGCAGATCGGGGCGACGCAGACGCGCAATGCAATTTAGGGGCTTTCTTTCATTCTGAGGAGAGAGTTGAAGAAGGGTTCCGGTACTTCGCGCTCGCGGCGGATCAAGGCTATACTTATGCGGAGTCCAACCTTGGCCTTTGTTACATGCGCGGACAAGGCACGGACGTCGACGTCGGCAAAGCAAGATACTGGTTCGAGCGCGCCGCTGCCAAGGGCTTCGAGCCAGCTATTGAGGCCCTCGCGCGCCTCGACGCGCTACTTTAGCCTAAACCATCTTAACGCCGCGTCGTCGCCCGAGCCCGAGATGCTGCGCTTGCGCGCGGTCGAGTCGTGCTCGGCCTTGGCGTCGTCGTCGCGGCGTTCCTCCCCGCGCCGACCTTCGCGGTCTGGTGCCTGGCGTTTCTGAACGCGAGCCCGCCTGGCGCAAGGCCGACGACGACGCCGAGGGGGGCATGGAGAACGACATGTATGTGATGCTCTAGGGTGGGCTTAGCCCTGGCGTCGGATTTTGAGCGATTTTGCCTTGCGAGCTCAGGAGCTTTGAGGAGAGGCAAGACTGTCGCCCGCGCGCCGCCCCGCAAACGATCATGAAGGCCGAGTACGTCGAGAAGCAGCGCGAATACGAAGAGAAGAAGGCGCGGGCGAAAGCGCTACAGCTGCGTTTGACGTGCACGATTTGTGGGGCGAAGCCGAGGACCTTGCTGAACTGTCCGTGCGGAACTACGCAGTATTGTTCGACTGAATGCCAACGCGTCGACTGGCGCGACCGGGGTCACCGAAAGGCGTGCAAGAAGATCCGAAGCGAGCGCGCGGCGGAGGCGGCGCGGGCGGAAGCGCCGACGCCCCCGCCGTCGCCGCCGCGGGACGTGTTCTACGGCCCTGCGCCGCGGTCGCACGCCGACGAGGTCCGCGCGCGCATCGCGGCGGAGCACGAGGCGGCCCGCGCGCGGCGCGAGGCGAACCCGGAGCGGGAGCCGCTGTCTGCGCGGTACGGGTCACGGTGCCCGATCTGTCTCGATGAGTGGGACGTCAATGCGACGAACGTGTCTCGCATCTGTTGCTGCCGGTTGGTCTGCCGATCGTGCGAGGACAAGATCGGCACCGGCGCGTGTCCCCTCTGTCGTATACCGTGCGCGGAAACCAATGCGGAAGCACTCGCGCGTCTTCGCCGCCACGTGGAGAACGAGGTGCCTGAAGCGATTACGCAGTTGGGAATTGCGTACCGCGAAGGTCGGTTGGGCGTCGTGAAATCCGATAAGAAAGCCGCGAAAATTTGGATGCGCGCCGTGGAGCTCGGGGACGTGGATGCGATGGTAGAACTTGGTGAATTGTACTACGCCGGGTTGGGCGTCAAGCTGGACAAGAAGAAGGCGGAGCGGCTGTATCGCGCGGCTGCAGATCGGGGCGACGCGCTCGCGCAATCCAATATAGGGGCTTTCCTTCACTCTGAGAAAAAACTTGAAGAGGCGTTCCGGTACTACGCGCTCGCGGCGAATCAAGGCTATACCTCTGCAGAGCATAACCTTGGCGTTTATTGCAGCTACGGAGCAGGCACGGAAGTCGACCTCGGCAAAGCCAGATACTGGTTCGAGCGCGCCGCTGCCAAGGGCTTCCAGCCAGCTATAGAGTCCATCGCGCGCCTCGACGCGCAAGTATAGCCTAAGTATTCACGCCGCGTCGTCGCCCGAACCCGAGATGCTGCGCGTGTGCGCGGTCGAGTCGTGCTTGGCCTTGGCGTCGTCGTCGCCGCGTTCCTCTCCGCGCCGACCTTCGCGGTCTGGTGCCTGGCGTTCCTGAACGCGAAGCCCGCCTGGGGCAAGGACGACGACGCCGCCGAGGGGGGCATGGAGAACGACATGAACGCGATGCTCTAGGGGTGGGCTTAGGCCTGGGGTAAGGTTTTGAGCGATTTTGCCTTTGCCCTCGAGTCTCAAGGACTTGTGGCGACGCCCCCGGTCGCAAAGGACGCGCGCCGAGTCATGTCGTGGCGGGAGAAGAAGTTGGAGTATGAGACTCGCATGGCCCGAGCGAGGGGCAAGAAACTCGACACTCTCAAGACCTGCACGATCTGCGGCGCCGACAAGGCCAAGGCGTGCAAAGGTTGCGGCACGACGGCCTACTGTTCGACGGACTGCCAACGCATCGACTGGCGCGACCGGGGCCACCGGAAGGTATGCAAAAAGATCCAAGAGGACAAACGGGCGCGGGCGGAGGCGCCGACGCCCCCGCCCTCGCCGCCGCGGGACGTGTTCTACGGCCCCGCGCCGCGGTCGCACGCCGACGAGATCCGCGCGCGCATCGCAGAGGAGCACGAGGCGGCGCGCGTGCGGCGCGAGGCGAACCCGGAGCGGGAGCCGACGTCGGCGCGGTTTGGGTTGCGGTGCCCGATCTGCCTCGAGGAGTGGGACCTGAATGATCCGGGCATGCTTCGCGTCTGTTGCTGCCGAAAGGTCTGCCAATCGTGCGAGGACAAGATCGGCACCGGCGCGTGTCCCCTCTGTCGCATACCGGCCTCAAATTCCAATGCGGAACTACTCGCGCGTCTTCGCCGCCATGTGGAGAACGAGGTGCCGGAAGCGATTACCCATTTGGGAATTGCGTACCACCACGGTCAGTTGGGCCTCGTGAAATCCGATAAGAAAGCCGCGAAGATTTGGAAGCGCGCCGTGGCGCTCGGCGACGTGGAAGCGATGAATAATCTTGGGACATTGTACGACAATGGAAGTGGTGTCAAGCTGGACAAGAAGAAGGCGGAGCGGCTGTATCGCGCGGCCGCAGATCGGGGCGACGCGTTCGCGCAAAACAATTTAGGGGCTTTACTTGATACTGAGAAGAAATTTGAAGAAGCGTTCCGGTACTACACCCTCGCGGCGAATCAAGGCGAAACATTTGCAGAGAATAGCCTTGGCTGTTGTTACCTGTGGGGAGAAGGCACGGAAGTCGACGTCGGCAAAGCCAGATACTGGTTCGAGCGCGCCGCTGCCAAGGGCCACGAGAAAGCGAGAGGGAACCTCGCGGAACTCAACGCGCAAGTATAGCCTAAGTCTTTACGCCGCGTCGTCGCCCGAGCCCGGGATGCTGCGCTTGCGCGCGGGCGCGTCGTGCTTGGCCTTGGCGTCGTCGTCGCGGCGTTCCTCTCCGCGCCGACCTTCGCGGTCTGGTGCCGAGCGTTATTGAACGCGACGTCCTGGCACAAGGCCGACGACGTCGCCGAGGGGGGCATGGAGAACGACATGTATGTGATGCTCTAGGGTGGGCTTAGCCCTGGCGTCGGATTTTGAGCGATTTTGCCTTGCGAGCTCAGGAGCAAGGCAAGGCGAGGAGAGGCAAGACTGCCCGCGCGCCGCCGCGCAAACGATCATGAAGGCCGAGTACGTCGAGAAGCAGCGCGAATACGAAGAGAAGAAGGCGCGGGCGAAAGCGCTACAGCTGCGTTTGACGTGCACAATTTGTGGGGCGAAACCGAGAACTTTGCTGAAGTGTCCGTGCGGAACTACGCAGTATTGTTCGACTGAATGCCAACGCATCGACTGGCGCGAGCGGGGCCACCGAAAGGCGTGCAAGAAGATCCGAAGCGAGCGCGCGGTGGAGGCGGCGCGGGCGGAAGCGCCGACGCCCCCGCCGTCGCCGCCGCGGGACGTGTTCTACGGCCCCGCGCCGCGGTCGCACGCCGACGAGGTCCGCGCACGCATCGCCGCAGAACACGAGGCCGCTCGTCTGCGGCGCGAGGCGAACCCGGAGCGGGAGCCGGCGTCGGCGCGGTTTGGGTCGCGGTGCCCTATCTGTCTCGAGGAGTGGGACGTGAATGCGAGGAACGTGTTTCGCGTCTGTTGCTGCCGGACGGTCTGCCGATCCTGCGAGGAGAAGATCGGAGACGCGTGTGCTCTCTGTCGTTTACCGCTAGGAAGCGATGCGGAGCAGCTCGCGCGTCTTCGCCGCCATGTGGAGAACGAGGTGCCGGAAGCGATTACGCTTTTGGGAGCTGCGTACAGACTCAGTCGTTACGGTCTCGTGAAGTCCGATAAGAAAGCCGCGAAGATTTGGAAGCGTGCCGTAGAGCTCGGGAACGTGAGCGCGATGGTACGACTTGCGGAATTGTACAACGAGGGGTTGGGCGTCAAGCTGGACAAGAAGAAGGCGGAGCGGCTGTATCGCACGGCCGCAGATCGGGGCCACGCGGTCGCGCAAGCCAATTTAGGGTTTTTACTTGACTCTGTGAAGAAACATGAAGAAGCATTCCGGTACTACGCGCTCGCGGCGGAGCAAGGCTTCACCTTGGCAGAGGCTTGCCTTGGCATTTGTTACAGGGACGGAGACGGCACGGAAGTCGACCTCGGCAAATCCAGATACTGGTTCGAGCGCGCCGCCGCCAAGGGCAACGAGGTAGCTACAGAGGCCCTCGCGCGCCTCGACGCGCGAGTCTAGCCTAACAGTCTTTACGCCGCGTCGTCGCCCGAGCCCGAGATGCTGCGCTTGCGCGCGGGCGAGTCGCGCTTGGCCTTGGCGTCGTCGTCGCGGCGTTCCGCTCCGCGCCGACCTTCGCGGTCTGGTGCCTGGCTTTTCTGAACGCGAAGCCCGCCTGGCGCAAGGACGACGACGCCGCCGAGGGAGGCATGGAGAACGACATGGGCGGGATGCTATAGGGGTGGGGCTAACCCTGGGGTAGGCGTTGGGGTCGGGTTTTGAGCGATTTTGCCTTGCGAGCAGGACTCAGGAGAGGCAAGCTGTCGCCCGCGCGCCGCCGCGCAAACTATCATGAAGGCCGAGTACGTCGAGAAGCAGCGCGAATACGAAGAGAAGAAGGCGCGGGCGAAAGCGCTACAGCTGCGTTTGACGTGCACGATTTGTGGGGCGAAACCGAGAACTTTGCTGAAGTGTCCGTGCGGAACTACGCAGTATTGTTCGACGGACTGTCAACGCATCGACTGGCGCGACCGCGGACACCGAAAGGCGTGCAAGAAGATCCGTGCGGAGCGGGCGGCGGAGGCGGCGCGGGCCGAGGCGCCGCCGTCGCCGCCGGAGGAAGTGGTCTACGGTCCCGCGCCGCGTTCGCACGCCGACGAGGTCCGCGCGCGCATCGCGGCGGAACACGAGGCGGCGCGGGCGCGGCGCGAGGCGAACCCGGAGCGGGAGCCGACGTCGGGGCGGTACGGCTCGCGGTGCCCGATCTGTCTCGAGGAGTGGGACGTGAATACGGGGCACATGTTTCTCGTCTGTTGCTGCCGACAGGTCTGCAAGTCGTGCCACCACAAGATCGGCTTCGACGCGTGTCCGCTCTGTCGCATACCGTGCGCAGAAAGCAATGCGGAGCAGCTTGCGCGTCTTCGCCGCCATGTGGAGAACGAGGTGCCGGAAGCGATTACCCATTTGGGAATTGCGTACCAATTGGGTTACTACGGCCTCGTGAAATCCTATAAGAAAGCAGCGAAAATTTACCGGCGCGCCGTGGAGCTCGGGGACGTGGACGCGATGGAATCTCTCGCGGAAATGTACGGGAAAGGACTCGGCGTCAAGCTGGACAAGAAGAAGGCAGAGCGGCTGTATCGCACGGCCGCAGATCGGGGCTCCGCGTTCGCGCAAAACAGAATAGCCTGTTTACTTGATCTTGAGAAGAGAATGGAAGAAGCGTTCCGGTACTACGCGCTCGCGGCGGATCAAGGCGCAACTTTTGCAGAGAATAGCCTTGGCTGCTGTTACAGGGACGGAGAAGGCACGGAGGTCGACCTCGGCAAAGCCAGATACTGGTTCGAGCGCGCCGCTGCCAAGGGCGACGAGCCAGCTATAGAGGCCCTCGCGCGCCTCGAAGCGCAAATATAGCTACCTAGGTATAGAATGACTCTTTAAGTCGCGTTGTTGTCCGAGCCTGGGATGCTGCGCTTGCGCGCGGGCGAGTCGTGCTTGCCTCCGCGCCAACCTTCGCGGTCTGGTGCCTGGCGATTCTGAAGGCGAGGCCCGCCTGGCGCAAGGACGACGACGCCGCCGAGGGGGCATGGAGAACGACATGGGCGCGATGCTATAGGGGTGGGGCTAACCCTGGGGTCGGGTTTTGAGCGATTTTGCTTAGCCGCGGCGCAGGGAGGAATCGAAGGGAGGGAGGATCAAAGGGGAGGGCTAGGGTAGTGGAGCGAGGAGCGAGAGCACGATCGGGAGGATCGGCCCAGTGCCCCATACCACGCCTAAGCCAGCGGCCATGTGATTTTGCCTTGCGAGCTCAAGGAGCAAGGCGAGGAGAGGCAAGACTGCCCGCGCGCCGCCCCGCAAACGATCATGAAGGCCGAGTACGTCGAGAAGCAGCGCGAATACGAAGAGAAGAAGGCGCGGGCGAAAGCGCTACAGCTGCGTTTGACGTGCACAATTTGTGGGGCGAAACCGAGAACTTTGCTGAAGTGTCCGTGCGGAACTACGCAGTATTGTTCGACTGAATGCCAACGCATCGACTGGCGCGAGCGGGGCCACCGAAAGGCGTGCAAGAAGATCCGAAGCGAGCGCGCGGCGGAGGCGGCGCGGGCGGAAGCGCCGACGCCCCCGCCGTCGCCGCCGCGGGACGTGTTCTACGGCCCCGCGCCGCGGTCGCATGCCGACGAGGTCCGCGCGCGCATCGCGGCGGAACACGAGGCCGCTCGTGCCCGGCGGGAGGCGGACCCGGAGCGAGAGCCGCTGTCTGCGCGGTACGGGTCGCGGTGCCCGATATGCTTCGAGGACTGGGTTGTGAATGCGACGCCCGTGTTTCGCGTCTGTTGCTGCCGAAAGATCTGCCAATCGTGCCAGGACAAGATCGATGGCGCCGACGCGTGTCCCCTCTGTCGCTTACCGCACGAGAAGACCAATGCGGAAAGACTCGCGCGTCTTCGCCGCCATGTGGAAAACGAGGTGCCGGAAGCGATTACGACTTTGGGAGACGCGTACCGCCGCGGTCTGATGGGGGTGGTGAAATCCGATAAGAAAGCTGCGAAGATTTACCGGCGCGCCGTGGAGCTCGGGGACGTGATGGCGATGAATAACCTTGGGTCATATTACGAGAATGGGAGTGGCGTCAAACTGGACAAGAAGAAGGCGGAGCGGCTGTATCGTGCAGCCGCAGATCGGGGCGAAGCCTTCGCGCAATTCAATTTAGCAGAGTTACTTGATTCTGAGGAGAAATTTGAAGAAGCGTTCCGGTACTACGCGCTCTCGGCGGATCAAGGCTATACCCCCGGAGAGTTCAACCTTGGCTGTTGCTACAAGGACGGAGAAGGCACGGAAGTCGACCCCGGCAAAGCCAGGTACTGGTTCGAGCGCGCCGCTGCCAAGGGCGACGAGGATGCTATAAGGGCCCTCGCGCGCGCCTGACGCGCCATAAACCTTAATCATGATCTCCCTAGAGACCCCCAATCACGGCGCGGCCGGCGGCGCCTTGTCGCGCTGGAAGAGCGCGCGGATGGCGTGGAAGGGGCCTCGCCTCGGGGCCGCGACGGCCTCCGCGGCCTCGGTGGTGTTCGTCGCATTCGTCGCGTTCGCGGTGTCGCGCCAGTCGCGCCGGTAGTCGAGGAGCTGGCGCCCGAGGACGGCCTCGCCGTGCCGGAGCTTCGAGATGATGGCCTTGAGGCGGTTGAGGGGCTTGCGCCGCTCGATGTTGTCCGCGTGCCAGTCGAGCATGTCGCGCTCGAGCGACTTGAGCTCGCCCTCGAGGTTCTCGACGTGGACGACGCGCTGGGCCTCGACCGCGGTCTCGACGGCGACGTGCTGGGCCATCGACGCCGCGGCCGCGGCCTCGGCCATCTGCTTGTCGTGGAGCGCCTCGAGCCGCTCGATGGTCTCCTCGTTCTCGAGCGTGGCCCTGGCGAAGGCCGCGTCGTGCGCGTCCTGCGCTTCCGCGCGCCGCCGCTCGCCCGCGGCCGCGGCCTCCGCCATGGCCGTCGCGTGGACGTCGCGGGCCCCGTCGAGCGCGCGGAGCCGCTCCTCGTCCTTGGCGGCGATGGCCTCGGCCAACGCCGTGGCGTGCGCCTCGGAGAGGTCGCGCGTCGCGGCGGCGTGCGCCTCGGCGGCGGCCGCGGCCTCCTCCGCGAGCTCCTCCTCCCGCGCCGCGAGCATGTTCTCGTGCTCCTCGTGGATTTCCCGCGCGAGCGCCTCCATTTCCCGCGTCTGCTCGACGAGCGCGTCCTGGTGCTGCTCCGCTAATTCCTCCTCCCGCGCCGCGAGCATGTTCTCGTGCTCCTCGTGGATCTCTCTCGCCAAGGCCTCCATTTCCCGCGTCTGCTCGACGAGCGCGTCCTGGTGCTGCTCCGCTAGTTCCTCTTCCCGCGCCGCGAGCATATTTCCGTGCTCCTCGTGGATCTCTCTCGCCAACGCTTCCATTTCTCGCGTCTGTTCGACGAGCGCGTCCTGGTGCTCTGCCGCCGTGGCAGCCGTTTCGCGCGCGTGCTTCTTCGCCGCCTCCTCGACCTCGCGCGCGTGCTGCGCCGCCGCCTCCTCGACCTCGCGCGCGTGCTGCGCCGCCGCCTCCTCGACCTCGAGCGCGTGCTTCTCGGCCGCCTCCTGCGCTCGTTCGGCGAGCGCTTCTTCGTGCTCCGCGTGCGCCGCCACCAGCCAGGCCTCGAGCGCCGCCGCGTGCTCCGCGCTCTGCTCCTCCAGCGCCGCCGCGTGGTCCGCGCTCCGCTCCTCGAGCGCGGCCGCGTGTTCGTCCGCGAGGCGCTTCCGCAGCGCGGCCAGCTCCGCCTCGTGCTCGTCGATGGTCGCCTCGAGGGCGCGCGCGTGCTGCGCCGCGAGCTCCTCGGCCTTGAGCGCGTGGGCCTCCGCCGCGGCCGCGTGGCTGCCCCGGAGGCCCTCCACGGCCGCGGCGTGGTCGTCGCGCGTCGCCTCGAGCGCGCGCTCGTGCGCGACGCGCGCGGCCGCGAGCGACGCCTCGTGCGCCTCGGCGCGGGCCGCCTGCTCCTCGGCGTGCGCGGCCGTCAAGGTCGTCGTCGCCGCGGCGTGGGCGTCGGCCAGGGCCGCCTTCTCTCCGGCGTGGGCGTCGGCGAGGGCGCGGTGGCTGGCGGCGAGCTCCTGCTTCTCGAGGCTCGCGGTCGCGAGCGCGTCCTTGTGGTGCTTGCACGGATCGTCGTCGGCGCGGGACACCCACGCAATGGCGAGCACCAGCCATCGGAGAGCACGCAACATCGTGACCGACTTCAAGGGGCTGCACTGTGAAGCCGATGCTCGCCGAGTCTCCGAGATGCTGCCGCAAACGAGCTCAGCTCGCTCTGCCCAAGGCGTCCAGCCTCTCCGCGTCGTCGCTGGGCAGCAATCCTAGCCATGGCGTCGAAGAAGGCGGCGGACGCCATCTTCCCGCTCAACATCAACGTGGGCATCATGGGCCACGTCGACAGCGGCAAGACGTCGCTCGTCAAGGCGCTGTCGACGACGCTGTCCACGGCGGCGCTGGACAAGGCGCCGGAGTCGAAGGCGCGGGGCATGACGCTGGACCTGGGCTTCAGCAGCTTCAGCGTGCCGCTGCCGGACCAGCTCAGGGCCGGCGTCGCCGGCCGGTTCGACGAGGCGAACCTCCAGTTCACGCTCGTCGACTGCCCGGGGCACGCGTCGCTCATCCGGACGATCATCGGCGGCTCGCAGATCATCGACATGATGGTGCTGGTCATGGACGTGAACAAGGGCATCCAGACGCAGACGGCCGAGTGCCTCGTCATCGGCGAGATCACGACGAGCGAGCTCATCATCGTGCTCAACAAGGTCGACGTCATCCCCGAGGCCGAGCGCGACGCGACCGTCGCCAAGACGACGAAGCGCATCCGCCTCCAGCTCGCCTCCAGTAAATTCGCCAACGCGACCATCGTCACCTGCGCCGCGGCCGTCGGCGGCGAGAAGGTCGCGGCCGTCGGCGGCAAGGGCCAAAAAGGCGACCCGGAGCCGCCGGCGGTCTCCAAGGGCGCGGCGAAGCGCGCGGCGGCGGCTTTGGGGACCGCGCCGTCGCTCGGTTTGGAGGGCTTGGTGGAGACGCTGCGGCGGCGCGCGCGCATGCCGAGCCGCGACGTCGAGGGCCCCTTCTTCTTCGCCATCGACCACTGCTTCCCGATCCGCGGCCAGGGCACCGTCGTCACGGGCACGGCGCTCCGCGGGGCCTGCGCCGTCAACGACATCGTGGAATTGCCCGAGGTCGGCCTGGAAAAAAAGGTCAAGTCCATGCAGATGTTCCGCAAGCCCGTGAAGAAGATCGTCTGCGGCGACCGCGCGGGGTTGTGCCTCTCGCAGCTCGACGCCGCGGCGATCGAGCGCGGCATCGTCGCCGCGCCGGGGTCCGTGCCGGGCATCAACTCGGCTTTGGCATTGGTGCGCAAGGTGCGCTTCTTCCGGGGCCCCTGCGACACGGACCGCAAGTTCCACGTCACGCTGGGCCACACGACGACGCTCGCGACGGCGTACTTCTTCGGCGCCGCGGAGCTCGCCGCGCGGCCCAAGCCCGCCGAGCCGCCGACGGCCTTCGATTCGTCCAGGGAGTACGTCTTCCAGGAGCAGCTCGCGGCGTCGAAGCGCAAGAAGGGCGCCGACGACGACGGCGGCGACGGGCCCGGGCCGGGCAGCGACCTGAACGACGAGCCGCTCCAGTGGTGCCTGCTCAAGTTCGAGACGAGGGTGCGCTGCCAGCTCGACGCCTTGGTCATCGGGTCGAACCTGGAGGCCGACGCCCTCGCGGACAAGTGCCGCATCGCGTTCCACGGCAAATTGGTGGAGCGCGTCGACGGCGACGCGTTCGCGACCAAGGTGAAGCTCTACAAGCTCAAGCGCAAGGAGGGCCTGGTCGCGAAGCTCGGCGACCCCTGCGTCGACGTCACGGGCGCGCGCGTCGTCAAGGACGTCGTCGGCAAGGACCTGTTCAAGAAGGAGACGAACATGGCCGCCTTCGTGGGCATGAAGCTGCAGGCGGCCACCGGCGAGATGGGCCGGGTCGCGTCCGCCTTCGGCAAGAGCGGCAAGTTCAAGGTCGACTTCCCCGGGGGTACTTTGGTGAAGCCCAACGGCAAGCTCTACCTCGTCTTCAAGAAGTACGTCTTCTCGCCGTCCAAGGCCATGCACCAGGACGACGACTGCCGCGTGCCCAGGGACGAGCTCGAGCAGGCGCGCGCGCCCAAAAAGAAAACGCCGGCGCCCGACGCGCCGCCGTCGCCGGGCCGCAAGAAGAAGGCCGCCGACGCGCCGCCGTCGCCGCCGCCCGCGCCGCCGCCTCTTTCGAACGACCGCAGCGGCACCGTCGAGCGGCACAAGGGCGACCCCATGGCCGGGACCGCGCGGTACGAGACGATCATCGCCGAGGGCTTCTTCACCGCGGAGGAGGACCAGCGCGTCCACGCGGGGACCAAGGTCACGGCCGCGAACGGCGACGTCGGCTCGTTGGTCGGGCCCTTTGGCAAGGCGGGCAAGTCGAAGGTGGCCTTCGCCGACGGCACGGACGCGGCCGTCGGCTCGAAGCTCGCGCTCGTGCTGGGCTCGTCATGAGGCGCGTTTAAAATTATGCTGGTTCCAGGGGCGGGAAGCGATGCTCGAGTGCCGCGCCGAGGTCGAGGAGCCCCTCGTCGCGGCCGTGCGCGGCGACCAGCTGGATCGCGTGGGGCATGCCGTCGTGGAGGCCCGCGGGTAGGGTGAGCGAGGGCAGGCCCGCGTGGCTCCATGGCAGCTGCGCCGCGGGATCGCCCGTCGTCGCGTGGCCGCGAGGCGCGACGCCGGACGCGGCGCCGGGCGTGACGAAGACGCGGCCGCCGAGGACCGCGTGGAGCGCCGCCCTCGTCTCCAGGGGGCTCCGCCGCGCGGCCTCGGACGCGGGAGTTTGGTGCGCGAGGATGAGCTTTCGCGTCTCCGGTGAGTACAGCGATTCATGCTCGGCGAACCGCTCGGCGTGCGCCGCCGCGAGCTCCGAGTTGATGAGCTCCCGGTGCATATTCGTAACGGCCGCGATGTCGTCGAGGACGCCGCTCTGCCGCGCGACGGAGACGCCCGGGCAGCCCTCGAGGGCCGCGAGCGACGCCTCGAAGAGACGTTTCGCCGTAGGGGAGAACGACTCCATGTACGCGCCGTCGGGCACGACGAGCGTCGACGGAGCGCTCGCGCGGTCGTCCCAACCGTCGACGATGGCGGCGCCGACGCGCGCCGCGGTCGCCACGTCCTTGGCGAGGCAGCCGACGACGTCGATGGACGACGAGTAGGCGTCGACGCCGCTCGCGTCGACGCGGCCGCGGCTCGGCGCGAAGCCCACGACGCCGCAGAACGCCGCGGGCCGGCCGATGGACCCGATGGTCTGCGTGCCCAGCGCGGCGTCGCAGAAGCCGGCGGCGACGGCGGCCGCGGACCCGGACGAGCTCCCGCCGGGCGTCCGCGCGGCGTCGCGCGGGTTGGTGGTCGGCGGCGGCGCCAGCGCCGCGAACTCGGCGAGCGCCGTCTTGCCGAGGAGCGTCCCGACGGCCCGGAGCTTCCGCACGACCGCGGCTTCCGGGCCGGCGTTGATGGCGTGGGCGCTCGATGGCAGCCGCGCGCCGCATGTCGCCGGCGGCAAGCCGTCGCAGGCCATGTTGTCCTTGACGCCGAAGAGGAGCCCGCCATCGTACTCCTGCGCCAATCGTTCGAGCCTCCGCGGCTCGTCGCAGAGGCTGCGCACCACAGGCTCCAGCGCTTCGAGGCGCTTGAGATACGGCGCGAGGGTGCTCATGGCGCTGGCTGAGGGCGCGAGAGTGCTCATGGCGCTGGCTGTCGCGACGAGCAGCAATGGAATACAGCAGCTCATGCGCTACACAAGACTTAGTGGAGACATGCCTCTCGTCTCTCATGGTTCAATATGAACGGTAATTGAACAGAAGCGCGCGCGCAATTGCAATGATGGCAGCCCGATGGCTGTTGCTCCTCAACGCACTCGTTGCGCTTGCAGACGTCGATCATCCCTGCGAGCGCCAACTGGCGAAGATGGCCAACGAGTACGCCGAGAGTCTCGCGGACATCCGCCGAGACAATGAGGAGACGCAAAAGGAAGCGGCGGAGGCGCTCGCCGCGGCGAATGCGCACGCGGACGAGGCCAAGGCGAATCTCGCGAGGCTCCGCGCGGCGTCCGAGGCGACGCTCGGAGCCGCGAAGGACGCCGCCGCGCGCGAGCTCGGAGCCGCGAAGGACGCGGCCGCGACGGAGCTCGCCGAGACGGGCGCCGCCGCGGCGCGCGAGCTCGCCGCCGCGGCGCGCGAGCTCGAGGCCGCCAGGGCCGACGGCACCGCGCTGGACGAGGCCAAAGCGACGCACGCGGCGGCCCTCGCCGCGGCGCTCGAAGCCGCGGCGGCCGCGCGCGCCGAGGACGAGGCCGCGCGCGCCGAAGAGGTGGCGGCGCTGCGGGCGACGCACGACGCGGCGGCGGAGGCGGCGCAGGCCGCGCAGGCGGAGATCGTGGCGTCGCTCCACGCGGAGCGGCGCAACGGCCGGAAGCAGCGCGCCGAGGACGAGGCCGCGCACGCCGCGGCCGTCGCGTCGCTCGCGGCGACGCACGACGCGGCGCGCGCCGACGACGCCGCGGCACACGCGGCGGCTCTCGCGGCGCTGGCGTCGGCGCACGAGGCGGCCGCGGAGGAGGCGACGCGCGAGCGGTCCGCGGAGCGGTCGGCCGACGACGCGCGGCGCGAGGCCGAGAAGCGGAGGTCGGAAGAGGACCATCTCGCGGCGCTCGAGGCGCAGCGCGAGCGCGACGCGGACCGCCACGAGCAGGCCGCCGAGCAGCGCATGGCCATGCTCCTCGAGAGCCACGAGGCCGCGACGCGCCGCCGCGGCGAGGAGCACAAGGCGGAGCTGGCCATGCTCGTCGAGAGCCACGAGGCGCGCGAGCTCGACGTGTCGCGGCGCCTCGAGACGAGCGAGCAGAACCGGGCGGCACAGGTGAAGCAGCACGCGGCCGCGCTCGCGGACGCCGAGGAGCGCCACCGCGACGCCGCGGCGGAGTCGAAACGGGAGCACGCGGCCGCGGTCAAGAAGCGCAAGGCCGAGCACGCGGCGGAGCTCGCGCGCGCCGAGGCCGCGGCGGAGGCGGCGCTCGAGGCGGACCGGGCCGCGCGGAAGAAGGACCACGACCGCGAAGTCGCGCGGCTCGAAGCCGCGCACGAACAGACGTCGCGCGCGCGGGAGCGGGCGCACGCGGCGGCGACGCGGGACGCCGAGGACGCGCACGCGGCGGCGACGCGGCGGGCGGCGGACGCACACGCGGCGGCGACGCGCCGGGCGGCCGAGGACGCCGGCGACGCGCTCGAGGCGCTGCGCGAGTCCGCCGAAGCCGACGCGGCCGAGGCCGCGGCCGCGGCGGCCATGCGGCTCGAGCAGGCCGTGGAGACCAGTGTTCAAGCGACTTTTGGCGGGGAAAAAAATCGTTATCGGAGTAGGTGGAGACGGCGCTCGCGGCGGCCGCCGAGGCGCACGCCGAGGCCCTCGAGGACGAGCTCCGAAGACAGGAGCGGGACCTGCTCGAGTGGCACGCGGACGACGTCGAGCGGCGGCGGCCGCTGAACCGCCTCAAGGCCATGATCGCCGCGCTCCGGCGGGGGCGCCCGGTCTTCCAGCAGCAGCTCATCGACTGGCCGCGGCGCGACGGGTCGAGCCCGCGGGCCGACGCGCGCGACGCGCCGGCGCCGTCGGTCTTCGACGTGCTCGAGGCGAAGGTCGACGTCATCAAGGTGCTCTGGGGCGTCACGGGCCTGCTGTGCGCGCTGTGCGTGCTCCAGGGCTTCCTCGACGTGTCCGCGGGCGCGGCCGTGGCCGCCGCGGCCGTCGCGCTCGGCGCGGTGGGCTGCCTCCACTCGTTCCTCGGGCCCGCGGGCCGCCGCTCCGACCTGTCGACGGTCCTCTGGACCTGCACGGTGCTGGTGGCCGTGGTGTGCGTGCGGGAGGATAAGTGAGGAGGCGCAAGTGCCGGCAGAAGTATACGGTGCACCCGATGTTGTCCCTTCGAATTCACGCCACGTTTTTCACCTCGTCCACGAGCGTGGACACGCTCGAATCGTGGTTCTCGTCGAAGGTCGGTCAGCGCGCGCGTCGCATACGCTTCGCTGTTGCACCACCCACGCACACGCCTCGTTGCATCGGTCTTCCGAGGCCAGTGCAGCCACGGCGTCGGAGCGGGCTTCGGCGACGGACCCGCTCGGCTTCCGGCGGTCGTCGTCCCTCTGCCGCGCCTACCTGCTGCGGCTCTTCGAGCTCGCGCTCGGCAGCCGCGGTCCGCGGTCCGCGTCCACCGACGAACCCGCGGACGTCCTCGTCGACGGCGAGCCGTCGCTGCTCATGCAGACCCTGGGCGACGACCCCCTGGAGGCCTGTTCGGGCTTCCTCGCGCCGCGGTGCCTCGCGGCCCTGGGCCGCTGCTGCCAGCGCCTGCGCGAGGTGTCGCGGCGGGACACGGTCTGGCAGCCCCTCTGCGAGGCGCGCTGGGCCGGGCGGCGCCAGCGGCGCGCGTGGCTCGACGCCGCGGCCGCGGCGGCGCGCGACGCGGGCGACGCCGTCGCGTCGCCGACGTGGGCGGCGCACTACGCGCTGCGCGAGGCGTCCATGCGCCACGGTCGCCTGCCCATCTTCGCCATGAGCGCCTACCTCGAGGTGGGCCGGCGCACGGACCTCCACTTCTTCGAACCGCGCTACAAGTGGCTCGTTAAGGTCGCTTGCGAAGAAAAGGGCGGCCTCTTCGTCTTCTGCACGGCGGCGCCGGGCGCCCACGAGCGGTCGGCCCACTACTCCTGGCTCTGCGAGGCGCAGAACGTCCACGTGCTCCCCGACGGCCGCGCGAACTTGAGCGTCTTCCCGCTCGGCCGCTGCCGGCTCCGGCGGCTCTGGCGCGAGAACGTGCCGGCGGCGCCGGACGCGCCGCCCCTGTCCTTCGCCGACGTCCTCGAGGTGCCGCGGCCCCCGGCGCCGGCGCCGAGCCCGCGCAGCGTGTTGCGGAGCGCCGACGCGGACGACGGCGACGCCGGCGACGCCGCGGCCGCGTCCGACGACGACCTCGACGACGACTACGACGACAGCGACGACGACGACGAAGACTACCCGCACCTCCAGCCGGAGCACCGGCGCCTCCTCGAGCTGCTCATCCAGAACCCGGGCGCGATGACGGACCTCGGCCTCACGCGCGAGCGCGTCGTCGAGCTCCTCTCCATGGCCGGCGCCGGCGGCGACGAGGACGAGAGCGAGGCCAGCGCCGAGAGCGACCCCGGGGTCGAGGAGACGGCGAGCCAGTCGAGCCGCCAGTCCGGCGAGCTCCTGGACGTCTGATCGGCCGGCCCATGAAGATAGCGGTCGTATGTAAAAAATACCGATGGCCGCCTCGGCCGCGCCCGGCCGGCCCCCGGCGCGCGTAGCGGCGCGCGGGCTCGTAAACATAATGGCCGCCTCAGCCGCACTCCGCCGGCCCCCGGCACCGATACCGCCTCTCCACCTCGCCCCGGAGCTCGCGCTTGAGCTCCGGCGCCGCGGTCGCGTAGAGGTTCGTCATCTCGTAGGGGTCCGCCGCGAGGTCGAAGAGCTCGTGCTCGTCCGCCGGCGCCGTCCAGTTCCAGTTTTGCTGCGACGACGTGAACTCGACGTACTTGAGGTCGCGCGTGCCGTCGAGTATGCGCAGCGCGCGGAACGTGTTGTTCGTCGCGTCCTCCGCGTGCTCGTAGCGCACGACCGTGCCCGCGCCGACGTACTCGAGGAGCAGCGTCGCGCGGTCCGCGGTCTCCTTCCCCAAAATCGCCGCCGAGAGGTCGAGGCCGTCCATCGTCGCCGGCGTCGCGCGGGCCCCCGCGAAGCCCAGGAGCGTCGGCGCGAGGTCGACGTGCGTCGCCGGGAAGGTCAGCACGCCCCCGGGCTTCACGCCGGGCCCCCGGATCCAAAACGGCACGCGGAGGTCGTTCTCGTACGCGTTCCACTTGCCCTCGGGCATGCGGAACTGGCCGAATCTGAAGCCGTGGTCGCTCGTGAAGACGACGAACGTGTCGTCCAGGCGCTGCGACGCCTCGAGGGCGTCGACGACGCCCGCGACGAGGTCGTCGACGGACAGCAGGGACCGGAGGCGCGCGCGGAACAGCTCGTCGGACCGATGCGCCTGCTCGCGCGTCATGGGCGGCTGCGAGGCGACGAGCCAGTGGTGGTCCGGGCACGACGCGTTCCAGTTGGGCGTCCGCGGCGGCTTTTCGCCGGCGAAGAGCGCCGACGAGTTGTACCAGGGCGCGGGCACGGCGACGGGCCAGCCCGGGCCGTCCTCGACGTGCGGCGCCTTGACGGCCGCGACGGCGACAAACGGCTTCCCAAAGTCGCCGCGGAGCCAGTCCACGGTCTTGTTGCCGATGATCGACGTGCTGTAGCAGGGGCGTCCCGCGCAATCGTCGAACGCGACCTCGACGCCGTCGACGGCGAAGGACGGGTCGAGGTACGTGCCGCCGCCGTTCGCGACCCAGCGGTCGACGCCCGGCGGCGCCGCGAGCGGGTTGTCGTTGTTGAGGTGCTTCCCGAAGTAGCCGACGCTGTAGCCGAGGTCGCGGAAGTGCGTCGCGACGTGCCACTCGGCGTAGAACTTCGGATTCCGGGAGTCGACGTGCATGCAGCCCGCGCCGCGAAAGTCCGAGACGCGGACGTTGTGGAAGTAGCGGCCCGTCAGGATCTGGGCGCGAGAAGGGCAGCAGATGGGCGTGTGGACGAACCAGTTCGTCAGCTCCGCGCCGGCGTCGCGGACGAGCGTCCGCGTCCGCGGCAGGTAGTCGCTCGAGCCGAGCGCGACGTCGAGGTCGTCCGCGAGCACGAGCACGACGTTCGGCCGCGCGTCCCGGGGCGCCGCCCGCGCCGCGCCGTCCGCCCGCGCCGCGCCGTCCGCCCGCGCCGCGCCGTCCGCCCGCGCCGCGCCGCCGAGGGCGACGACGAAGGGCGGCGCGGGGACGTCGCCGACCGAGTCGTAGACGACGGGCACGGGCCAGTCCGCGTGCAGGTAGCGGAGCCGCGACGCCGTCGCCGGGACGCCCGCGAGCGCCACGGCCGTCGCGTTCGCGGCGGCGACGCGCGTCACGTTGCGCCAGGCGCCGCCCGCGAAGACCTCGAAGGACGCGCACTGCGTCCGCGGCACCGCGGCGCGGGGCTCGACGTTCGGGGCCTGCGTCTCGTCGACGGGGCACGCGTTAAAAGGCGCGGCGCCGCCGTAGCCGCGCACGGTCAGCACGCCGCGGACGTTCTCGAAGTTGACGACGAGCGCGTCGCCGTCCCGCGCGACGCCCGCGACCGTCGGCCCGCCGCTCGTGGGGACCGCGCCGAGGGCCGCCGCGACGAGCCGCTCGGCGACGACGACCTTGTCGCGCGGGTGGATCGAGCCCAGCGGCGCGGCGAGGTCGCCGTGGTCCACGGCCGTGGCCATGGCCGTGCGCGGCAGCGCGAGCGCCGCCGCCTGCGCGAGCCGCGTCAGCGGCAGGCTGTCGTCGACGGCGCCCGACGAGGCCGTGCTCGGCAGGTTCTCCACGTAGGGCGGCAGCTGCACGAAGAGGAACGTCAGGTCGGGGTTATTGAACTTGGCGCGCCAGTCGGCGATCATCGCCGGGAACTGGCACGCGTAGAAATCCGCGCAGGCCGACGCGTTGAGGCCGCAGTTGTTGCCCGGCTTGTAGGCCCACCGGTCGTTGCACGCGACGTTCGATTCACCCTGGTACCAGATCGCGCCCGTCGCGCGGTACTTGCGCCAGGGGTGGATCATGCCGTTGTACAGGTCGCTCTCCACGGACGGGAAGCCGACGGCGACGTCGTCGCTCGCCGCGGACGGGACGTCTTCCGCGTAGTCGTCGAGCCAGCCGCCGCCGCCGCCGCACGTGGCGAGGGGCGTCTTCGCGTAGGCGGTGCAGGGCTTGCGCGCGTCGCTCGAGCTCCAGCGCTCGACGGCCGTGCCGCCGACCTGGTTCTGCACGAGGCCGACGGGTACTCCGAGCGCGTCGAACATACCTGCGCGAGCGGCGGTTGGAGAAGCGCATCGCGGCGTCGGGGGAGGACCGCGCTTCCAAAGAACGCCGGAGCGGCGCGTCGCCCGAAGAGCCAGCAGACGGCGGAGAAGCTATTGACGCCCGCGTAGGTCGGCGCCCGCCAGCCCGCGGAGGCGGCGGGGTCGTCGACGGGCGTCGCGTTCGAGGCCGTCGCCTGGCGCGCGAGGCGCACGAGCGGATACTCGCTCCAGAGCTCCGCCTCGGCCGTCCCGTTGTTGACCGTGCCGTTCCAGTCGACGAGGCCGTCGAGGTACTCGACCGCGACGCCCATGTTCGACTGCCCGGCGCAGAGCCAGACGTCGCCGAAGAGCACGTCGTCGAGCGCCGCCTCGGCGCCGGCGGCGCTCGCGGAGATGTTCACGGGCGGGCCGGGGTCGCCGAGCACGGCCACCTCCCAGGCGCCGGACGCGTCGGCGACGGCGGCGCCCGCGACGGCGCCGTCGACGCGCAGCGTGACCGTCGCGCCGGGCTCCGTCCAGCCCCAGAGCAGGGCCGGGCTCGGCGCGCGCTGCAGCACCGCATGAGACGTGAGCGTCTTGCTGAAGCGGATGGAGGCGCGAGCCTGCGCGAGGAGCAGCACGAGCAGTGCGCTTCCCATTGTGTGGGTCTTCTTGCCACAGGGTTGACCAACATCGACTGCAAAAAACACATTTACGCCGACGCGCGCGCGGCCGCGCTCAGGCCCTCGATGCGCACGAGCTCCGCCTTCCGCCGCGCGCGTAGCCAGTCGGAGCCCGCGGTGTCGACGCCGTCGAGCTTGCACATGATCTGCGTGAGGAACTCGTCGTAGCCCTTCTGCCGCGGGTCGAGGTCGTCGACCTGCTTGCTCAGCGCCGCGAGCTGCTCGATGATCTCCTTTTCTTTGTGGTATTCGCCGGTGTACATGAGCATGAGCTTCGTGCGGTCGCGGATGCCCGCCGCGTCCAGCGACACGCCGTCGTTGCCGCCGCCGATCTGCTTGCCGCGGTAGAGCATTTTGATGTGGTGCCGCGCGAGGCCCATGGCCTCCGCGGTCTTGTCGAGCACGGCGCCGACTTTAGACGAGCTCTCGAGTTCAAAGTCGAACGACTGTCCGCATCCCGCGACGCGCAAGCGGACGACGCCGATGTTCATTTCGGCTGGGCGCGTCGGTTTCCTGCTCTTAATTACAGCTGCCTAGCGCTGCAAACCGATGACGACGGGTCGCGCGTGGTCGTGACGCGGTCGATTTGCTGGCGCCGCGGGGTCGCAGCGAGCAATCGCGCGCGCAGTCGTGGGTCCAGAGCAGGTCGATTTTGCCGTAAAAATCATTTAAAAATCAGCGATTGACTTCTTCAACTGAAGCGATGGGGCGTCGTTCTACGGCGCGCGCAGCTCTTCTGTGGCTCTCCTTGCTAGCCGAACTCGCCTGCCCGCTGACCCCAAAAGGCGCGCGCGCCGCCGGCGTCAAGGCGCGAGGCAATAGCCGCACGAAGCGCGCGAAGAGCGCCGCGCCGCCCGTCAGCGCCGCGAGCTTCAAAAGCAAGGAGAGCGGCCTCGCGCCCGACGTCATCGGCGCGCTCGACTTCGAATGCACCTGCGAGCCCGGCTGGGACTACATCCACGAGATCATCGAGTTCCCGGTGGTTCTGTTCGACACGCGGACGCGGGAAATCACCGACTCGTTCCACAGCTACGTGCGCCCCACGGAGAACGCGACGCTCTCGGCCTTCTGCACGGACCTCACGGGCATCGAGCAGGCCACCGTCGACGCCGCGCCGACGCTGCCCGAGGTCCTCGACGACCTCGACGCCTGGCTCCGGGCCCGGGGCCTCGTCGGCGCCGAACCGGCGGCGTCGTTCGCGCTCGCGACCGACGGCTGGGACCTCGAGCACTTCCTGGATGTCGAGTTGTCGAGAAAGTTGCTCTACAAGCCCGGCGACTACCTCGATCGCTGGGTCGACCTGAGCAAGGCCTTCGACCTGCGCCGCGCGGCCAAGGACGTCGAGAACGGCCGCAAGAAGGGCCGGAGCCGGCGGCGGTCGAACCTCAACACCATGCTCCGGCACCACAAGATGGAGTTCGAGGGGCGCCTCCACTCGGGCATCGACGACGCGACGAACCTCGCGCGCGTCGGCATCGCGTTGCTGGAGGCGCGGGAGGACTGGCCCCTCCGCGTGAACGACGCGCTGCCGGGGGCCTCGCTGCTGGGGGAGAGCGACGAGCAACAATAGCATTCAGTTAAAACCCCGATCCTAATCACGAGCCGCCGAGGCGCCGGCCGGGGCCCGCGAACGGAACCGCGGTCGCGCCGCCGAGCCCGGCGAGCATCGTGTTCGCGCCGCCGCCGAGGCCGGCGAGCATCTGCTGCAGATTGCCGGGAAGCTGCATGTTGCCAGGAAGCACCGCCGTCACAGCGTTGAAGGGCATCCGGTCGAAGACGACGACGGCGAGCGGCAACTGGTGGTCCTTTTTGTTGACCACGATCTCGCCTCGGTGGCCGCGGTCCTCGGAGGTGATGCCCGACTTGTCGACGAGGATGCAAAACACGAGCATCTTGCGCGAGCCGTGGCCGTAGGGCGCGGAGGTGCGGACGTCCTTCCCGAAGTACTCGCCCGCGCCCCCGACCTGGCCGTGCTGCGCGCCGCGCTTCCGCGAGTCGAGGCCCTGGCGGAGGATGCTCCGGATGTTGCGCTCCGGCGTCGCGTGGTAGACGAGGCGCATCGTCTTGTTCGGGACCCGGCGCCACGCGGCGACGAACCGCTCGTAGAGCGGCTGGCGAGGCCGCGAGTGCTCGTTGTGCTCGACCGAGACGACCTTCAGCCGGAGCCGGCCTGCGCTCGCGGCCGCGGAGTCGCGCAGGGACTCCCGCTGGGAGTAGAGCAGGTCGTCGTCGTCCGACGGCGCCGCGCCCTTCGGCCGCGCGGCCGCGCGCGCCCGCCGCGCCGCGTCGAGCGCCTTGAAGTCGACCGGCGCGGCGCGCGCGGCCTCGGCGTCGAACTTGCGCTGGAGGCTCCGGGCGAGCGCCTCGTCGTCGATCGGCGCGGACGGCTGTTCCGCGTCCGCGTCATCATCCGAGTCGCAGAGGTCGATCGTGAGCGGTTGCGTGCTCTCGTCTTCGCTGTCGCAGAGGTCGATGACATCCCGCGGAGCCTTCGCGGCTCGCGCCCGCGGCTCCACCATTCGGGCCTCGCCGCAGACCGAGCATTCGTTCAGCTCGGCGGCCACGCCATGATGGCGAAAGGTGCAGGCCGCACAGCTCCACGGCGCGGACGGCGCAGAGGCGGGCGGCGCGGCGCGCGCGCACGCGAGCAGTTTCGGCGCGGGCGGTTTCGGCGCGGGCGGTGTCGGCGCGGGCGGCTCCGGCAATGGTGGCGCGGGCGTAGACGACTCGAGCGCAGACGGCTCGGGTGCAGACGGTTCGGGCGCAGATGGCTTGGGCGCAGACGGCTCGGGCGCAGACGGTTCAAAAACAGGCGGCTTGGGCGCAGGCGGCGAGCTCTTTCTTTTCAACGCCGGCTCTGACGGCTCGTCTTCGTCGCTGCTCGAGTCGAGAAGTCCCTTTCGTGGCTTGACCGGTGGCGCACCATCATCACTGTCGCTACTCTCGTCCCAAAACGGGCGCTTTCTCGCCATGCTCGGAGCGTGAACCTTCCCGCCACTCTCGCCACAGCGGTCGCCGAGGACGCCTCCGTCGAGGCTCCGAGGCCTGTGCACTTCCGCGCACTCCCGGCTCGCAGCAGCGAGGCCGTCTGCCGGCAGAGGCTCCCGTGACAAAACACAACAGCAGACTTATGCCACTGGCAGCTGGCGCGGCAGCGTCCGCACGACCGACGCGACCGGGCCGACTCCGACGAAAAACACGCGCTCACCCGGACGCCGGGCGCTGGGCGCGGAGCGCGTCGAGCCGCGCGCGCGCGTCTCGAGCGATCTGGGCCTGCCGCGATACCTGCGCGCGCGCCGTTCGAGCGGAGGCGAGCGGATCAACGCCGCCAGTGCGTCGCGCTGGGCCTACGGAACGCGGCGGTGATCGCCGGCGAGGAGACAACGAGGACCGACCGTCGCGAGCGCGCGCTCCGCCCGGGCCACGTGGGTCTCGAAGAGTTCGAGCGCCGCCGCGGCCTGGTCGAGCTCGTAGTTGACGTCCGTCGGCTCGTCGTCCTGCCGCTGCCAGCCCGGGTCCCGCGTCGCGATCTCCCGGCGGAGCCGCGCGAGGTCCGTCTCGATGCTCTCGACGGACTTGGTCGCGATGCGCTGCTTGAGCTGCGTGATCGTGGTCCCGACGGTGTCCGACGTCGCCGCGAGGCGCGCGGAGAGCACGGTCGCGGCGCCGCGCGCGCGGATCTGGTCGAGGTCGCTCGCGCCGACCTTGCGCAGCTTGTGCCTCCGGATCCGGTCACGGTCGCGGTGCCGCGCGGGCTTCTCGAGGACCTCGGCCTCCGGCGGCGCCGCGTCGTCGTCCGAGGCCTCCTCGTAGTACCTGTCGCGCTTCGGCCGCGGCGGTCGCCGCGCGGCGTCCTCGGGCCTCGGGCCGCTCGCCCGGCTCGCGTCGTCGCCCCGGCTTTCGGAGCCTTGACGACTCGCGTCGTCGCCCCGGCTTTCGTCGCCGAGGCTCCGGCTCTCGTCCTCGTCGTCGTCCGACGACGACGACTCGTCCGGGGGCGCGCGCGACCCCGCCTGCCGGTCGCGGAAGCCCTCGAGGATGAAGTCGTTCATCTTCGCGGGCATCTCGAACGCCGGCGCCGCGGGCGCGCGCGCCTCGCGCGGCGGCCGGTCCATGAAGCGCTCGACCCAGCCCGAGACGCGCACCGCGGGAGCCGGGGGACGGGCCTCCTCCGCGATTGCCGCGAGGGGGCGGGTCTCCTCCGCGAGCCGCGCCGCCGCGAGCAGCGCGGCCTTGGCGGCGAGCGCGGCCGCCGCGGCCGTCGCTTCCGGCGTCCGCGCGGGCGGCGCGGGCGACGGGATCCGCGCGCGCGCGCGTCGCAGCGCGTCCTCGGCGGCGAGCGCCGCCGCGGCGGCCGTCGCCTCCGGCGTCCGCGCCGGCGGCACGGGCGACGGCGTCCACGCGCGCGCGACGGGCGCGGGCGGCGGCGACGAAGACGCCGGCCGCCGCTTCTCCGCGAGCGCGCGCACCGCCGCCGCCGCGGACAGCCGCGCGGCCTCGGCGCGCTTCGCCTGCGCCGCGAGCTCCGCCGGCGTCAGCGACGGCGTGCGGCGGTGGGTCGTGATCGATGGCTGGTTGCTCTGGCGCTTCGCCGCGGGCTGCGGCGGCGCGGGCGCGGGCGCGGGCGGCGCGCCGTCGTTGTCGTGCACGACGAAAAAACTAATGTTTTGGCCGAGCGCGGTGACGGGCTTGGGCGCCATCGGAAGCGCGCCTACACGGCCACGACGCGTCGACGACCCGGCGCTGAGCCATGGTTGAGGTGCACGCAGAAGACATTTTAGGCAAAATCCTCTACCCGACGGCCGCCGGAAGCATGCCCGGGATGACGTCGGGGCTGATGTCGAGGACGGCGCCCGTGACCATGGCCGTCGCGTCGGAGAGGAAGTGGACGACGGAGGCCGACGTGTCCACGGTGCGGAGGAGCCGGCCCGACGGGCTGCCCGCGTCCGCGTCCGCGAGCCAGCCGTCGCCCTTCTCCGCGCGCTGGCCCGCGTCTTCCGCGTCCGTGAGGCACCAGCCCATGTTGATCTGGTTCACGCGGATGCCGTCGCCCCGGAGCTCCTGGGCGGAGTTCTTCGTCAGCACCGTGAGCCCGCCCTTGGAGCACGAGTACGCGAGGATGAACGGCGCGCCGCCGTGCGCGGCGCAGGAGCCGATGTTGACGACGGAGCCGCGCGTCTTCGACGCCTTCATGTGCGCCGCAAAGGCCTGCGTGAAGAGGAAGGGCGCCGTGAGGTTCGTCGCGAGCATCGTGCCCCAGAGCTCCGGGCTCGTCGACGCGAGCGTGCCCCGCGGGAAGCAGACCGCCGCGGAGTTGACGAGCCCCTCCACGGTCCCGAAGAGCTTCGTCGCGGCCGCGAGCGCCGCCGCCGCGCACGCGGGGCCCTCCGCGAGGTCGCCGCGGACGAACTCGCAGAGGCACCGCGGCGCCGCGTCCTTGATCGCCGCGACGACCGCGGCGCCGCGCTTCGCGTCGCGGCCCAAGATGAGCACGCCGCGCGCGCCGGCCTTGGCGCACTGCAGCGCGATGCACCGGCCGAGCCCGCTCGTCGCGCCCGTCACGACGATGGCCTTGCCGAGCAGCGACGCGAGCGGGCGCGACAGCGGCGGCTTCGACGCCGCTTCCTTGGCGATGGCGGCCTCCTTCGCGTCCATGGCGGCCTCCTGCGCGTCGAGCTCGGCTGCCTTGCCGAGGTGGTGCTTCGCGAGGTTGGCTGCCATAAGCTTTTAGCTCTAGCGAAGCCGATTCTTCACTGCCTTTTGGCCTGTTTCAGCCGCTGGCGCCGCCGCCGTCTGGCCGAGACGGCGGCTGTACCGCGTCGATTTGAGCGCGGTAAAGCCGTGACGCGCGGCGCATAGACCCAACGCGTGGGCCTGACTACTTTTTTCCAGCGAATCGCGGGCGCGCGGGCGCGCGGAGGTCGCGCTCTCGACGAATATATGCTCAAATCGTGTCGATCCCACCTCTCCGAGCCGCTCGTGGCATCATAGAGAGCCGTTTTGTTACCGCGGTCTGCTCCATACACGCCTCGAGCGGACTGAACCGCGAGAACACCCTCGGGGACTGTTTCGACTCCGCGGCCGCGCGTTCGAGACGAGCGCCGAAACGCCGACACGACCGCGAACGCTGCCAAAACGCCGACGGACGCCAAGACGCGGAACCGCTTGCGCAGCGCGACGATGGGGTTACGATAGGACACGATCGACGCCCCTGCGACTCCTGGCACGCCCGAACTCGCGCAAAGTCTGGGATCGTAGGGTATGGTCGCAAATCGATCCCTTTTGAGCCGATTTCGGACGCGCGCGACCGCGTTCGCGCGACTACTTTTGCACCGCGTTGTCGGCGCAACATATCTGGAGCGCGTGGGAAGCGGAACGGCTGGAATCCATGCTGTAGCGGCTGTAAAAGGTCTCAAAGCTTGTCACATGCTCTCTGAGCTGCTCGGAGAGCGGCCCGAGCGAGTTGGCTGGGGATCACGCCGGGAGCGGCGGGCGCCGTCGGCCAGTGCGCGCGACGATGGTAGTTTCTATGGTGAAAAATTGGTAAGCACCGGCGGGTACGCCTAAGGAAGGGCCCAGCAAACTTTCACGCCCAGTTGTGAGGGTGTTGCAGCGATCGGATGGCGTTCGTCCGATCCCTAGAGGGAATCCAGCCCCAAACCGACCCTTACGCGACGACACACGAGTCGTTTTCGGCGCTCTAAAGGGCCGCGCGCACGTCGGCATGACCATACGCGACGGTCCGGCCAAAAAGACCGCGCGACGGCAGCGTTTTCTCGTCGGCGAAAACAGCGCCTCTCGGGCACCGAAAACGACCCCGAAACCGTCGGCAAGCCAGAACGAGTCGCAGGGACGCGTCCGACACCTTGGGCGAGTCGTAGGGGCCCGTTCGTCAGCCGTCGTAGCTCGCGCGCTCTCGGAGAAGTCTGTTTTGACGTACAAAAGCACGTCATGATCTCGGTACAGCGTTCGCGCCACCGCGTCGAGGTCGCGAGCGCGTGCGAAATCCGTCTCCCAGCGCACCCGCGGGTTGGAACACGTCGAGACATATACAAAGCAGCTCCCATCGCAAAACGGCACGCTACGAAGCCAGTGGGCGCGCAGAAACGCTGGACCGCACCGATTGCAGTCGCTCCGTGCCGCCACCACCAGTGTTCCTCGCGCGCAGACGCGCCGCGCGCCGGAAAAAAATAGGCAGACCGACGCGTCGGGTCCATGTGTGGAACGTTAGGGCTTTACCGCGTCGAAATCGCTGCAGTACAGCCGGCGCGAGGGCCAGACATCGTCGATTTCCAGCGGCTGAAACATCGGCTGTCGGCCCAAAAGGCAGTGTCTTACCGTACCTCAACAAGTACAGATGTAAACAGTTCTTCCCGAAGGAAAGGCTGCCCCGACTGAGGCGACTCCTGCCATCCATCGGCGCCCGCATAAACGGTGTGGGAGAGCTTCCTCCAGGGCCCCGACTCGGAGCCGGAGTCGATCCAGGTCATCCAGGAGACGCTCTGCAAGGGCGAGGCATGAGCGTGAACGTGGACACCACCGAGGCCGAGGAGGAGGGCGCGCCGGAGGTATGTTTGGTCATCCACATCATCCAGGGCATCGACCTGCTGCCCGCGAGCGGCGACGTGTCGGACCCCTTCGTGCTCATCCACTGGGGCTCGCACGAGCTGCAGACGGACCAGAAGCCAAGCACGGTGCACCCCAGCTGGGACGCGACGTTCGAGGTGCCCGTGAAGCTGGAGGAAAAGACGGAGTCGATCCGCTTCTGGATCTATTCCGGAGGCACGGTCGCGGACTCGCTCCTCGGCAAAGTCGACGTTGACATCGACATCGAGGCGGCGAAGAAGGGCATGTTCTCGCTCCCCGTGACCTGGCTGGACGTGGAGCCCATCGAATTGGACGCGCGCGACAAGCACGCGCTCCACAAGCCCGCGCGCCGCTCCTCCGCCACCATGGGCGCCATGCTCGACTCGATGACGTCGGCCGGCGGCAACCGCAACCTCTTCGACGAGCACGAGAAGCGCGAGAAGAAGCTCGGGCGCATCCAGCTGGAGATCAAGCCGCTCGCCGTGGAGGACGAGACGCAGGGCTGCGCCGAGGCGGTCGGCGCGTCCTTCGCCACGGTCGCCTGCGCGGCGAAGGACGCGAACGAGACGTGCTTCATCTGCAGCGAGGAGCCGCCCGCGCCCGGCGACCAGCCGCCGACGGAGGTCCCCGCGGCCGCGTAGCGCGCGTAGGAGGAGGGGACCCCTAACGGAGATCCCACGCCGCGCGACGCTAGCTGGACCGCGCGGCCCTTAGCACAACCCCAACCTAGGGCTTGAGCCGGAAGGTCGGCAGGCCGAAGAGCACGGGGCAGTACTTGACGCGGGCCTTGAGCTGCACCGCGGGCATCGCGGCGCCGTCGAGGCCGAGCGTCGACGACGACGGCGTCTTCTCGGCGGGCTTGGGCGCCTTGGAGGGCCGCTTCTCCTTGCTGGGCGTCGACGGCTTCTTGCCCTTGCCGCTGCCCGGCCGGCCCTTGTCGCTCTTGCCGCTGCCCGGCCGGCTGCCCGAGTCCTTCGTCGCGTCCTCGGGCGCGTCGACGATGTCCTCGGGGATCTCGTCGGCCTTGGACGCGTGGAGCAGCGCCTCGCCCATGGTCAGCCCCATGTCGCTCATGCCGTCCAGCAGCTTGTTGAGCAGGAGGCGGTTCGCGTGGAACGACGTCGACCACTGGTTCAGGAGCACCGCGCCCGTGCCCGCGAGGGACCAGAGCGCGGCCGTCTCCAGGGGCTCCTCGAGCGCGAGGTCGTCGCGCTTCTTCTGCGTGTCGATCTTCGACTGGCGCCGGTACGTGAGCTCGTTGTCCGCGCGGTCGAGGAGCATCGCGACGCGGCAGCCCTCGACGTTCAGGCCCGCGAGGTCCGCGGGCGGCAGGTGGCTCCCCGAGCGGCCCGCGCCGTAGAAGACGAAGCCGCCGTTGCCGCGCCGCAACAGAAGCTCCATGATCTCCGTCGCGTCGGGGATGTGGTCGTCGCCGCGGACGCCCTCGGTCCACGCGCCCGCGCCCTTGGGGTTCGCCTGGAGCCGCGTCAGATTGCCCAGCACCGTGCTCCGGGGCTTGTCCGCCGACGCGGAGCCGCTGTCCTCGTTGCGCGGGTCCGCGACGAAGGCCACGTCGCCGTTCTCGAAGGCGAGGTCGCCGCCGCCGGCGCTCTTGCCCTTGGCGTCGACGGCGCCCGAGTTGAGCAGCGCGTCCGCGCGCGCCGCGAGCATGTGGACGCTGAAGTCGCGGCTCAGGGGCACGCCGAGCGACGCGAGGTGCGGCGCGGCCTCCACGGGCAGGAGCTGCAACCGCACATCCAGCAAGACCGTGAGCGCGGGCGCGCCGGCGCCGCCCTTGCCCTTGGCCGGCGCGGCGCCGCCGTCGCCGTCGGGCGACGCGTGCTTGCGGACGGCTTCCAAGCCCGCGGCGATGAGCTTGTTCTCGAGCACGGGCGCGAGCCACGCGGCCGTGCGCGCCGCGAGCGCCTCGAAGTCGCGCTCGAGCTGGTCCTCGGGCGCGAAGAGCGCGTCGGCCGCATCCTTGACGTCCGGCGGGAACGACACCTGGGACGCCGACTTGCCGAGCTCGGGGTCCACGGGGTCCTCCGTCGGCGCGACCTTCGCTTCGGCCTTCTTGAAGTCGCCCGGCGCGCCCGCGTCGTCGCTGTACAACAGCAGGAAGCGGCTCGCGGCCGCGCGCCACGCGCGCGCGGCCGCGTCGAGCGCCGCGAGCTCCTTGCGCTGGTCGACGGTGAAGACGTGGCGCGCGATGGCCGCGCGCGCGGGCGCCAGATCGTCGGGGACGCCGTCGACGGCGGGCGGCACGTCGTAGTCGCCCGCGCGCGCGAGCGCCGCGTAGATGGCGTCGCCGTTGGGCGTGAGCTGGAGCGCGAGGACGTAGAGCGGCGGCGCGCCGAGCGCTTGGGGCGAGCACTTCTTGAGCGCCGCGTGCACCGCGGGCTGGCTCGCGAGATCCAACCGCTTCCAGGCCGTCGACGCGGCCCCCAGGTGGCGCCGCGCGGCCGCGGCGGCGGGGAACTCGTGGGGGCAGGCGAAGCTCACGGCCGGCGGCGCGCCGGACGCCAAACAGCCGCCGGAGATGGCCGCGGACGCGGGCGCGGACCGCGCGACGTCGCAGATCGCGCCCGGCGACGGCAGCGGGTCGCTCGGGTCCACCGCCAACGATAGATCGCCGCCCGACGCGCCGCCGAGGGCGTCGTCGCCGCCGCCCGCGCCGAAGCCGCAGTCGTCGCCGTCGCCGCCGTCGCCGCCGCAGCCCCAGAGCGCGCCCGCGCGCGCGAGCACGCGCGCGAGCGACGCCGCGCGGCTCAGGTCGCGCCGCGCGGTCGCGCGGCGGTAGACGCCCAGCAGCCAGCGCCGCGCGCAGCACGACTGGTAGAGCAGCACGCAGCACACGGCGTCCAAGGGCCGCGCGACGCCGTAGATGTCGACGAGCTCCGACGCGGCCATGCCGACGTCGTCGAAGCGGCCGCGGCGCAGCCCGGAAGACACCGCGGCGCCCAAAGCGCGCAGGGCCATGCGCCGCGCGTCGTCCTCCGGCGCGGCGTCGTCGACGGCCGCGGGCTCGGACCCGTCGAGCGCCGCCTGGGCCGCGGCTAGAACCTCGCGGCCCTTGAGGTCGTCCGCGTCCGCGTCGAGCAGCTGGTCGCTGTCGCGGGGGTCGTCGGC